AAATGAAGAGGTATTGGAAAGAATAGGAGAACAGAGGACTCTATGGAAGTCAATAAAAAATAGGCGAGATAGGTTGGTAGGACACCTTCTCAAGCATGAAGGTCTAGTCAGAGACATATTAGAGGCAGAAACAGGAGTTAGGAGGGATAGAGGTAGACCTAGATTAGATTACTGTTCGCAAATAGTTAAGGATGTGGGTTGTTCTATAGTAGTTTTAGGGAAATGCGAAGTTTAGCTCAGGATTAGAAAGAGTGGAGGAGCGTGTCCAAACAGTCTAAGGCCTTATGATGATGATGATGATGATGAAATGTCTATACAGAGGCCGCGGTGCCCTTCGGCGCAGAGTTTTGGAATCGCTGATTTGGAGAATTGGTGTTTTATTCACATGCTGGTAGATTTAAATCCATTAATGCATATTTAGTAGTTACTATCTATTCTGCGTGTTTACTTGAGCCCGTTCTCGCACCTTAATAATTAACGTTGAACCTATTTGCTCAGCAGTGTAGTAATTGTCTTAATAAATTAGTAATTCGAGACATGCTAGGGAGGAGCTTTCTATTAGAAGCAACAAGCAATTTATCCTTTCAACTCCAAGAAAATTGGGTGTCTGATTTGCGTAATTAGCTACGAGCAGAGGGAAAATGTGGTTTTGTAAGAGGCGAACATTATACCTACCCCTAGTGGTGCGGAACATATTTCTGGTTGCCTTTTGTAAAAAACTTTGAACTTTATTGTGGGATATCAGTAGCATTTCCAAAATTGATTATGAATATTACAACGCTGGAATATTACTAAGCGTGAAAAACAGTTCATAACACAAATTTCAATAAACAGCAATGACTCATTGGTTTCAATGGTCGGCTGTAATGCAAGTGGGACCGGCCTCTAAGCTCGGACGATGCTATAACATTCTTTATTAACCTTCTACTAATTTCTTTTTTAATTTTGGAGTCAATAAGAAGTAGGCCAGATAGTTTGGTAGGACACCTTCTCAGGCATGAAGAGCTAGTCAGACATATTAGAGGCAGAAACAAGAGTTAAGAAGAATAGAGGTAGATCTACATTAGATTACTTTTCGCAAATAGTTAAGTATGTGGGACGTTCTAGTTTTAGGACCGAGCGGCATGGCCTAGAGATTTACACCATTGGTTAGCATTCGGGAGGACGCCGATTCGACTCCGGATCCGTCTGCCTTGGTCCAAGTTTTTCTGTGGTTTCCTTGGATCATTTAAGTAAATGCTGGGGCAGTAATATTCCACAGATAATCTTTCATTCTCTTCTGTCTTCATTTCGTCCGTCTCATCTTTCTCACTCGAACCACCACCCACCCATACCCACGATTCCTGCAAGGAGGCTGAAGAGGATCTTCTGCCCTACCTTCTGGCGTAATCCGAAAGGACTGCCCACCCATCAACATTAGTGGCTGGTGGGAATGAAACAC